TCAAATAATTTCTCTCCAAAGAAAATTGAAGATTAGAATTGAAAATCAAAATCCTACACCCAATTGTATTTATGATACATTTGATAATTCTGTTATTTTATTATTACATAATCCATTTTATTCAAAAAAAGTTACTGGTCTTATTATACTTGTTGGTGTTGAACCCGTATTTCTTTTTATGATATCAAAACTCTTTAAAGTGTAGTTGAACAAGTGTGCTTAAGTGTTTCAGGATTAGTTTTACAGGATTAATTAATAAGCCCAAAATAGAAAGGAGTTTAAGAATAGCCTCTAGACTAGAAACTGGAAAAGAGTAGTCTGTTGCTTTTAACAGCAGTCGACTGCCCAACCAAGTCAGAACGCAAGAATCTATTGCCTTCAACAAAGATCGAAATCCAAGCAAGAGGAACAGATTCCAAAAGATAAGAAATCGACTGCCCAGATAAGAAGACACAAGGATGGCACGGAAAAGTCAAAAGACGAGGAGAAACTTGAATTTTTGAAGCATCGTAACGATCATTTGATGGAGACGCTCCTAATGAAACAGGAGCAGTCAACTGCCAAATTAAAGCAGCCAGCTGCCTTTGTCAACGAGAATGGAGTTACGCTTCGAAAAACATTTTTGAAGGAAAAATTCAAAGGAGTAATGGACTGCCCCAAGTAGCAGTCGACTTCCCAGGGAAGTTAATATGCATCAAGACACGAGCAACGGACTGCCAACTGAGAAAACAAGGCAGCAGCGGACTGCCTAACCAAAGCAGCCGACTGCCCACCAATTCCAAAATGCTATCCGAAACGCTAGTGCTTGAGAAAAAAAAGGAGCACCCGACTTCCCTACCTAGGCAATCGACTGCCCAATATCCAGAAAGTTGTTAACATTTCAAAAACCATTCTGAGAAGGAAAAATTGCAGAAGCAGTCGACTGCCCCATCACAGCAGTTGATTGGCCTTGGAAAAAACATAGAAGCAGCCGATTCCACCTTGCTAGGAACTGATTGATACCTGGAAAATTGAAGAAGTAGTCGACTCCTCCGTAGTAGCAATCGACTTCCCTTACCTGGAAAGTCAAGAAAAGCTATCAGATGCTTCACAAAGATCCTGCATTTCAAAATTCTTAAAAGTCTTCAATCTCCAACGTGCAAGAGTCATCTCAAACGGCTAGAATTCATCTCCTCTTTGTAGATACAACCTCTTGGGCTAAAGATTAAGAACAATAAAGAGCTACAAAGTGCAAAAACAAAGAATCAAAGATCTATCTTAGCATTCAAAGTTTTGAGCTTCATTTTTCATATCTTTTGAGAGAAAAATTTGTAGTGAGCTTCATTTGTGTATTCAAATCAGTGGGTGATCATCAACACACTTTTACAAGATTGTTGCCTGGATCAAAGCTTGTAGCTTGGATCAAAGTGTAAGAAACACTTTGGATTTAGACATTTAGACACTGAGCTTGGTTTAGACTTTGGATTTGGACATCGAGTTTGTAAACACTTGTTGAGAGTTTGTACTTTATTTTGAGCTTGTGTAACTCACATTTGTAGAAACTTGGTGGAAGGTGCAATTTAATCAAATAATGGATTTGTATATCCTTGGAAGGCTTGTCAAAATAGTGGACATAAGGAGAGCCGAATCACTTTGAATCGCTAAGCATCATTATCTTTCATCAACAACATCCACTTGGTGACTTCTTTCCTCTGCTGCAAAATTGTGTCCGTTGCCCTTAAGCTTATTTGTCTTTAATTTTATGCAAAAAGTACTATTCACCCTCCTCTATTACATTCTACTTGGGACCAACAGTCGACAAAGAAAAGTCTTAATATCACTTGCTTGCTAATTATCATTAATTAATAACTAAACTAATATATATAGAGAATAGAGAATGATTGAGTTCACATCACCAATTAAAGCAACAATAATTTAGGTTAATAAAAAATCAAATAAAACTATAGGATATATATATATATATATTTATGAGTAAGATCGACTTTATCATTGTATGTATTACAATTTTTTTTCTTTTTGAATCAAAATTAAATTTATAATGCTTACAGCTAATTTCAAAGATAAAATATATATATATATATATAACATTTATACTAACGTAACAGGATCCATCCTCTCTCTCTCTCTCTCTCTCTCTCTGTATATATATATATATATAAAGTGTAATTTTACATTCTCTACAAATGAGGAGTTGAGCACCATTTTTTAATTGATTTATTTTTAAATAATATATATCCACTCTCTTTCTTCAACTTAAGTGTGCTATCTTTATTTATTTTTACCTATTTTTTGTCGTTTCTACCAATACAGCGAGTGTGTTGTCCAAATCCAATATAAGAAAATGTCATTAACTAAGATAAAAAAGAAAGTATAGTAAAAAAAATCCCCTGATAACGACTCTATCAATCAAAACCATCAATACGAAAACAGAAAGGAAAAAAATGAAGCATTTTACAATGGTGGTATAAAGCATGTTGACGAGAGATTAGAGTAACATCTAACAACTGAACAAGCGAAGCCACCCATGACACGGTCCTAGAAATTGTGATAACTAATGAATCACGAGGAATTTAATTATACAATATCTCTTAGGCCTTAGCCTGCGAAATTTCAGTACTCTTTATTACTTTGAAGGCAACTATATTGGTCACTACTTTCTTCAATCTCATACATGACTTTTCGCCTAATAAAATGACCTACTCTACTTTTAACTACTTTTATTTCAACATTCTCTATACACCACTAACCTTGATACATCAAATTCAGATAAGTTTAATGCACATTTAAAAAAAAATAATAATAACTTGGAAGGCAAGATTTGTCAAACCTTGAATCTTCTTAATCGTGGTTACCCCGTTTTGCCACTTTGGCCCACCTTATGTTGAAAATTAAATTTAATTAAGTATAATGGCCTTGATGTTAATAATAACAAGGGGCATTTCTTTTATTATGATATTATTTTTATCAATAAAAATTAGAATAATAATAAAATCATTTTTAAAATATGTGAATAAGAAAAAAAATCAATAGGTTAAACTAACATATAATTGAACGAAACTTACATATAATAAAACTTCCATTTGGGACTGGGGCAATTTATTTATTTATAAAATTCAATATTGTAATTTTAAAATTTTAAGTTTGAATAGTAAAAAAGGAGAGGTGAAATTTACGAAATTAAAGAGAACGAATCAAGTATGGTACAAAAGAAATGTGGTGGACCGACAACTCACATGTCTCAAGATCAAATTTATGAGATTGGAGAGAACAAAAGTAAAGTGACACACGGAAGCGTAGTGGGCCGATAATCAAGAGATCCCCAATTTAAATTTAGGAGATTGGAAAGAACGAAAACATAGTGGCACAGGGAAGTGTAGTGGGTCAATAATCCATAGATCTCGAGACACTTGACTCTAATAAAGAGTGATTTTTACACTATATTTGGTGAAAAGGAAAGAATAAGGAATGAAAGAGAGTGAAAAGAAATTAAATATTATTTCTTTTCTTTCATTCATTCGTTCAGTGAGAGGAAAATAGGGAAAATGAAGCAAAATTGATGGATTTGCACAGTTTCCTTCATTCCTAATCTAATCCTCTCAATCGGTAGGAAAACAGGCTTTCTATCTTAAATATAATATTTTATTATTGGTAAAGATCATATACATATAAAAATATACATGTAAATGTACACAACTTATTTTTTCTAACATTAACTTTGCAAACTATTTGATTAATGAAATGTCGTTGTACATTAAAAAAAAAAAAACTTTGTAAACTAATAAAAAGGCCATCTTATTACTCTATTTTTTGAAAATGCCATCACAAAATAATTATTTATACATATATGTATTTAACATATATATATAGTATTATCTTATCAGAAATTATTAATTTATACTAGTGTAAAATTAAAAAGTTTTATACTTTTTTTAACTAATAATTTCAATAGATCAAGAGATAAGGGAAATAAGTAAAAAAAAAATGATTTAATCTCACCCTTTAATCTATTGAAATAAATAATTGAACAAAAGTGTCTAAAACGTTTTAATTTTACACTAATATAAATTAATTCCTCCTCTTATCTTATTTTATTTATAGTTTTATCTCTAATCTCTTTTTTTTTTTTTTCTATTTTTTCATTTTTGGTAACAAACATAAGGAAAAAAATTTTCCTTTTCTCTCTTTCATTTTTTTCCTTTCTTTTTATTTTCCTTTTTAGCAAACATAGTGTTATTAGTGCAATTATGAGAAATGGAAAAAAAAAAAGTCTCTTTCATTATATAATCTAGAATCATATACATATAACAAAAAAGAAAAAAAATAAAGGGGCAATTTAGGAACATGAATGAAGCAAAGGACAAAAATGTGAATTGTAGAATTCAAGCGAAGTAATGTTAATTAGAGATCATCTGATGTAAAAATATAGTTGAAGAATAGGTTGCATGATTAGAGGGTCAATGGGATACATGTTCAGGGGCCGTTTGTAATTTCAACCACATGTGTAGCCAACGGCCACTGAAATCCAAAACGCCCAAAAAGCGAAGCTGACCTACATGCCCCAACTTATTATTATTATTATCTCCATCGTCGCTATCTGCAGCTGTTGCCATTGCTGTTGATAAATTTTCCATTACTATCTCTAATACATAATAACACAAATATATATATTTTCATTTTTTGATATTTATAATTCATCTATCTTCTGCCTTTTTTATATTTATTTACTGTCATGCATATCTCTGATTATATATAAGAAAAACCCAAGTAACCATTCGGGTTCTTTTTCACCAGAGAAAAGCGAAAAATAACTGAAGATTCCATACAGATTAAACATTATAGAAAAAGGGAAAAAATAGTTCTTGTTTGCAAATTGTTTTCTTGGGTTGAGATTGACAGGCAGATCCCCACCAAAAAAATAAAATAAATAAATTCATCAATCACCTATCTTACATAAAACGCCTTGACAATATTCACCTTTCTCTTGTTATACTATTCTTTTATTTTCAGCTGTAATTTCTAAGAAAGAGTCCTATATATGATGGGGGGCTCAAGCACGGTAGAAACCTCCGCCGAAGCCATGGCAGCGCCTGGAATCCACGACGGAAGTGAAATTGGCATGGTTGGTTCAAATTCTGGTAAAGAAGATAAGGGTAGGGTTGATGAAGGTGACCGGACTTTTGGAGGAAACCGTTGGCCGTGGGAAGAGACTTTGGCTTTATTGAAGATACGTTCCGGTATGGATTCTGTTTTCCGAGACTCAAGTCTCAAGGGTCCATTATGGGAAGACGTTTCTAGGTGAGCAAAAATCTTTCTTTTGTTTTGGGTTTTGCTTCAATGGTTTGAGAATTTAAGCTATCTAGCTATCTCAGCTGATCATGCATGCAGATCACCTGATATAGATTTTCAAAGTGAAATTTGGTTTCCCTTCTAAGATATAAAGTGCATACCTTCATATATATACTAGTAGTATCATATTTCTAAGATTCTGGGAAAGTGGAATTGGCTTTCAGATTTGATCGGTTTCATGAAATTTAGTGTTTACAAGCTGGAAATTGGATTCAGCTTTTCTTGTCAAAGCCTTTCTTCTAGCATTTAAAATTTAAAGTTCCATAGAGAAATCTCAGCTGCTGATAGTTGTGGTTTGTTTCAGAGATGGTTTGTTTTGGCTTTTGTCCATTTTAGTAAAATTCATAAAAGAAAGTTTATCAGCCTAATAAATTTCTACATGTACTTCCAACATGGGTTGTGAGTTTCCCATGTGGCCTTGGTTGGTTAGGTTTTCTCTTTCTTTTCTTTCTGTCTTATTTTCTATGTTCTTCTTGTTTTTTTGATGGTTTATTAATGTCGCAAAATGCTTTTAAACTTTATTCTATTGCCGAATTTGAGATAGAGTGTAAACAGAAATGGAGCTGTTTTGCAACTGTTTTTATCAGGAAACTAGCTGAGCTTGGTTATCATCGAAGTGCCAAGAAATGCAAGGAGAAATTCGAGAATGTTTACAAGTACCACAAGAGAACCAAAGATGGCCGAGCAGGCAAGGCTGATGGCAAGACTTATCGCTTCTTTGATCAATTAGAAGCCCTTGATAATCTTCATTCACTCCGATCACTATCTCCTCCAAAACCTCAAACTCCTACCCCTACTTCGGCTGCAATGCCTTGGACTAATCCTCCTTCTGCCTCCAATATCCATGTCCCATCATCAACAATAAACCCTATCAATATACCTCAAACCAATGCCACACCTTCCATAAACCTTACCATTTCCAACCATGCAGTTCCTAATCATTCTATAAATCCTCATTCCCATAACATCCAATCTTCTTTCCATTACATTTCATCAAATCTTTTCTCCACGTCTACCTCTTCTTCAACCGCATCTGACAACAATTCAGATCAAGGGAGCAGTAAGAAGAAATGGAAGGAGTTTTTCAGGAGGCTGACGAAGCAGGTTTTTGAGAAACAAGAGGAGTTGCAAAACAAGCTCTTGCAAACCATCGAGAAATGCGAACAAGAGAGAATGGCTCGCGAAGAAGCTTGGAGAATACAAGAAATGACACGGATCAACAGAGAACATGAGATTTTAGTTCAGGAAAGATCCAACGCAGCTGCAAACGATGCTGCAGTAATTGCATTCTTGCAAAAGATATCGGGACAGAAACCAAACACGGTAAAAGTGCAACCACTAGAAAATCCTCAACCACCGCCACCTCCTGCGCCAATAGCACCACTATCGCTTCCGCCTCCTTTGCAGCAGGCGCAACACCAATCACCAACTAAAGCCTTGAATTTTGGCAACTGGAAAATGAGTAATGGAGGGAATAATGCGGTTTCACCGAGTCCTTCACGATGGCCAAAAGCAGAAGTTGAAGCTCTTATAAAGGTTAGAACTAATCTTGACATTAAGTACCAAGAAAATGGACCTAAGGCTCCTCTTTGGGAGGAGATCTCGGCCGCAATGAGAAAGCTTGGATATAATCGGAGCGCAAAGAGATGCAAAGAGAAATGGGAAAACATCAATAAATACTTCAAGAAAGTAAAAGAAGGAAACAAGAGAAGGCCTGAAGATTCCAAGACATGCCCATATTTTCACCAGCTGGATGCTATTTACAAAGAAAGAATCAGCAAAAACGAGAATCACTTGGTTCTTCCGGGTATGGGGCCTGACAGCACGATGGTGCCGCTGATGGTACGGCCGGAACAGAAACTGCCTCCACAGCAAGAAATTAGCCAGCTGGCGGAGGCGACGACGATGGATGAAGCTGAGAGGGAAAATGTGGATCAGATTCAAGATGAAGAAGAAGAAGGTGGGGTTAGTGAAGAATGAGAATATGAAGGAAATGATTTCGAGTTAGTAGCAAACAAAACTGCTCCAATTGGCATCGGCGAGTAAGACAACAAAGGGAAGCTTTTAATCTAAGCTGACATCAAGTGAGGCATTGACATGATGGTTTTACTATAGTGTATTTACTGTGGTAAACAAAAAAGGACATATAAGGCAATAAAAAAGTTTATTATAAAAAACTTGATTTTGTCGGCTGAGAAGTAAATCAGATTCTGATGAATTAATTCAGCAGGAAATAATGGTGGTGAATTGGATTATTAACAGCCATGCACATGGGGTGTAGTTTTATAGTGGGGTTAAATGTTTTGGCTTTTCTTTATTAAAATTTATTATTTATTTGCTAAATAAATATATATTATAAGTGTGGAAAGGGCATATAGAGTTGAGGGTGGGGGCATGTTTGCACAGTATTAAAATAAAAGCCAACTAGTTCTTTGTATGTTTTTGGTTATGAAAATTCGAAGTAAATAAGCTGTTCAGTCTGTATTTGATAATTTAATACAGGTGATTGCAGATCGTGCATTCGAGATGACTTCAATAAATATTCATTGACAGGATTTGAATCTAATACTTTTTCGTTCTTCGACTTTAACCTATTCAATCAATCACTTGTTGGTAGTTTTTTGTATTTTCTTTTTATTCATAGTGGAATAGAATTTCTACATAACATTAATTATTTAAAAGAAAAAAATATAAAAAAAAACCTAGTGCTGTATCTTTATTTCTGTCATAATTGCTCAAATGTGTAAATGGGAGACATGGCTTATAGCGTGTGTTTTGAGTGAATACAGTGATTACCAGATTTCACCATTAGAAATTAATACAAGGAAAAAGTGAAGAACAATTGCAAAAATATGTACAATTATTAACATTTGAAAGCTATTAGTTTATGTGTGTGAGTGCGTGCGTGTGATCCTTCGGTACCCTAGCCAAGTTGTCTGCACATTGGCTTCGAATCCTCATCCAAAATGCCACTAGAAAAGACCCATGTGAGGGGTAAAAACTACTTCATTAATTTCCATGGAAACCCAATATTTTTTGTCTTGATATTGTTTAATTTCATTCTTCCTTTCAATTTTACTTGCGCTTCCAAATCGTTTATACTTGCATACAATTCAGTAGATTCCATATATGTATTCTAAAAAGTTTAAAAAATGTTAAAATGCTTGAAGTATAAAAAATGGCAAAAACCATGGTATATATCTTAATTTGTTGAAGTATAATTTTAGTTGGAGAAATCAAAATCGTAAAGAAAAAGTGAAAAATTCAATCGGATAGATGGAATTTAAATTCTTGATATCCTTGCGATATTTTTGTGATGAGTTTAGAGCAGTGAATAAGTTAATACTTAATAGCCTTTGAATTAAACAGGAGGCCCTATCCACAGCATGGCTAAACCTAACCCTTTGAAGCCGCAATGAGGGTCCTACGAGGGTAATCTTCCAAGTGATCTTCGATAATAATGTATGGGATTATTAACGCAACCCTTTTTGTTGACTTTCCACATTGCCATTATATTGATCTCTACTACTATTACTAACTATAATATATATTTCCACAAAATTAATCAATTGTCTCATCTTTTCATCAGAAAGTTGGAACATTTTTGTTGTGCTAGATATTCATGAATTCAATTTTTCTTCCCAAATTAGATGAATTTCCTACTCTTTTTTTTCCTCTCTAATCTTTCTGTCATGATCCACTTCCTCTTGATCATGACTTAACAGCTACTTTACTCCATGCTTCATCTGCTTTGCCCATTTTGTTGGGAGTCCAAAATATTTTGTCCCACATTAAAATCAGAGGCCCACAAATTTTGAGTGGTCATGCTCTATTTTTTAATAGGAGATAGATATTCTGCCAATAGCTGCATGTAAACAAGGCACACCATTCAACCCTAATTTCTAGCTTATTCATCAGATCAGTAGAGGTGGTAAAATGAATTCAAATTCTAAAATCCTCTTGAAAAAGTAAAAACACGAGTAGATTGAATACGATTTGATAAAAAGTCAAAGCTTGAACTTGAGAAAACTTAAATTTAAAATATAATTACCCAAACCTAAAATAATTCTAACTCAAAAATTCTCAGACCCAAAAAAACAATATATATATATATATATATGTTAAAAGAGGACTATAAAATCTAAAAATAACTTAAAATAACCCGAATCTAAATTCAAATCAAACTCAAAAAATTTAAACTTAAAAAAACTAAAATACGAAATAGTTTAAACTTGAAATGATCTAAAACCTGAAACAATAAGAATCCAAAACAATGATGAATTTGCATTTAATTAATGCCTAAAAGTCTACTTAAAAAAAATTAATACCTAAAAGTCACACAGTTGGCTATTGCATCAATTTTTGTTACAAAAGCATAGACAACTATATCTACATATTTTTGTTTTATCTTATCCATAATTGTCACGCTAATTAATTAAATCAATCACATAATAATATTTTGGTAGCTAGAAGTGATCCATTGAAAGGGACTTATCAGCTTATGCATACTTTCTAATCATTCAAGCATATATATAATATAACTATATATAAAAGCTGGGCGCATTCACATTTCTTAGGTGGCGCTAACGTCTATAAGATCAAAGATTTTCTAAGTGTGGGAAATTTAATTGAATTTCTTTGCAACCAAATTGGATGGCTGTTGGATTAATTATAATTAAAGAGTTAGTTATCATCTCAAATCAAAGTATTTAAGTTAATTACTTTTCAATTCTTATGATACCATTTACTTGCAAGTTCGAATTTCACGTGGATAAGGAGATTTACGTGTTGAATAAATTAGCAACAACTGAGCATTTACTTAATGGTAATTAGAGTAAATATGCATGTGTTTGATTAAAAATCGAATTCGAATCTCGTTTTCCGATAAAAAAAAATTTAACATGGCGTTGAATTGAAGTGAGCTGATAAACAGATGAAAAGTGCATGCCAAGCATGCCTTTTGGGGCATGTGATATTTTTTTAATTCAATAAATTGAGGGGATTTAATGAGATTAATGATAACATATAAGTGAGCAACTGAATTGTGCTATTAAGTTTGAAGTATGAAGTAAGCAATCCTGTATTCTTTTGGGCATGGATTTCATTTTAGATTGGACCACTTAATGAGAGGGCCGAGGGTCCTTTTTGAAGCTCAGTACCCCACATTCTTTGTATTGGAATTGGAAAGACAAGAATGGAGCTTATGGCATGGTACCAAAGTACCAACAAGCCAATAACCACTTAAGATATTTTCATATAATGTGTGTGCATAAAGGGAATTTCTCCATTACTTAATCATGTGGGAGAATTGGACAAAGTTTGGTCATCAGAAATCGAGATATAACATTAACGGAATCACAGATTCACGAGGACAGACGGTTCGCAAGCAAGGCTAATTCGAGTTCCAGTTTGTTTACGTTTTATATCAACAATCTTAGTAGGAAGATCTCTAAAAAAGCTTTATGGGAGGCCTTTTTTAACACTTAGATGGCATTTGGTACTTTACCATTAAATAAATTGCAGAGAATGTGAATGTAGGGAAAGTAATTGCAGAGAATTAAAATGTGGAAAAAATAATATTGCAATGTTTGGTATATAAGATAAAGTGCTGGTTAAAATACAAAAAATGTAATATCTTACTAGGAATGTAATGTAGAACTTTCAAATTATTTTAATGTATCAAAATAAATTATTTATAAAAAACAATTATTTTTATAATAATATTTATATTATAGTATTTATAATTAAATAATAATTCCATAATATTAATAATTTTAAAAATAATAATTTGTCCTTTCACTAAAATATTAAATATTATCATTTATTTCTTTATAATTTTCCCTGCAATAGTTAGGTGGTTTGTCTTTTAACTAATTCCCAATCCACCACTTGTTAGTAGATTTAGTAATCTAAAAGACGACATAATGACACGACACAAAAATGATATGAAAAAAAGATATGAAAATAATACAGTTTAAAATTTTAGCAAAATTCATATATTGGTTTGATAAACTCAAAAAAATGTATTTCACATTTTTTTTAACATAAATTATGGCACGTAATTTCATGTAAAACACGACATAAATATACAAATTGTAAATATTTTACATGATAAGAGTAAATGAATTGCCGGTCAACTTGTTGGTACATCCAATCAAAGTGCCCAACACCTTTCTCTTTTAAATTGGCACCACACCACCACCAACAAACATGTCAATCCAATGTAAACTTCATCTGTCTCTTTTTGATGAAGAAACAAAAGGAAAAAGTAGGCTTAGCCTTGGCTCCTTGAGTTCTTCAAAGTATAGATATTCATCAATACCGGCATCTATATTAGACTCATTTACATATTTTTCTTGATCCCTATATCTTCTTCTTGGCACCTGTTGTGCCTTTTTGTTGCATAGTTAACATCCCATGCATCGCTTGTCAATTATGCAATTTGCTCTACTAAGTCCTCAAACTTTTTGTGCAACCCAAGAACATGAGCTTGTTCTAAGTTAGCTCTCTTGGTACCTCTCACGTTTGGCCATTGTTTCCAACTTAGCTATTTCAATCTTAATTTTAAGCACAAACCACCTAGAACATTTGCTCTGATACCAATATGATGCACCTTGATTGCAAAAGTATAGGTAGTTTTTGAAGTTTTGGTTTTCAACAAGAAATGTAAGTAAAAAAAAAAAGGATAAACCAAGTTTAAATGACTAATAAGTAAACATGCTACAACTAATTAGACAAGAGTAATTCTTCATTCTTAGAGAGAAAGAAGGATGAGTGATAAAAATCTAGAGTTATTCGTCATAAAACAAGTGTTTCTTTTTATAAGAATAAAAGAGAATGCAAGTCTAAAATTTCAATCAATAATTTATCAATTGGTGTAGCTATTATATGTTATTGGCTTTTATATAGTAAGGTTAAATAATAAACTTTAGAATCTAAGAGGTATTATCATAAATAAGAAAAAGAAAATATCTATGATACTTTTAAGATATTTTCCTAGATTTGGTAATCTAGAAGGTTACAAAATCTGACAAAAAATATAAAGGATTACATAACCAAATAAAATCAAATATAATCAGCCTAAATGTACTAAAATAATCGTGCATGCATAATTCATAATGGATCCACATGCCAAGCCCATAATAAG